GAGCATATCAGATACCACGTTCCTTGTTTCTTCTAGCCACAAAATTTATCCTGCTTTGTTATCCCACCCTCACTTTTCTGGTTATAAAAACAAACTAAAATCTGCTAACTGCCCTTTGCCAACCTGTATACTTCATTGTAAGCTGTCTGTAAATAACAGATGACACCAGAGAACAAAAGCCCCTGACCAGCATGCCACTGTGCACCTCAGCCTCATCTGCAGGTAAGTGAAGATTACAGGCTTCAGAAGTGAACAAGCATCTCCAGCAAATACTGTGTGACCCTTACAGAAACACAAGTGAAGCATAAACATACCACCTACAATATGGTCGGTATTTATTCAATGCCAGTGACAGCAATGTTAAACACAGGCAAATGAGGACTTCACAGCAGGCTGGGTGACAACGGTCTATCGGTGTCCAGTTTTCGATCCCTTTGAAGTTTCTCAGAAGGGAACTGCTCAGTGTGTCAGCAAATGCGAGGCCGTCGCAGTTGGCTATTTACTCATCTCATGCTCCTCACTTTCATGGAGATGAGCTTCTGATTCTTTGCAATCTCTAAAGCACGCACAAGAAGAGAACTATTTGTAGAAAAAGAGGTGCTTTGCTACCTCAAAAACAATTTGGTGCCTATTCTGAAAAGGAAAAGAAAAAGGGGGACTTAAAAACAACAAAATGAGGTTTTCTGTATTGTTACAATACCCGAGGAAGGGCTCTGTTTCAACGCCTTTGCAATTTACATGTGATTTTATTCTGGTGGAGTCTCTGTGGTCAGCAAAAGCAAGCAACAAAACAGCACACTATTTCTGAGCCACGGGACCCATTTGAAGAGTCTGATGCATATAGTTTCAAAATTCTCCACTCGTAACAGCACCATACAAGTGGACTCTCTAACTATGCATACTTATTGAGTCCTGTGGCACACTGGGTGTTTCTGTACATTTATATACATTGTCTCAAACATGAACTCAACCACACAGCCAGACAGTTCTGAGGGAAGGACTACTCTGCTTTGAGTCTAAGCCAAGAGCAGGGCCTTCCAGTCTAGTGAGTAGCCTCTGTATGGAACAGCTCCATACACCAAGGTTAGACCATCCTCAGTGACCAACAGGAAGTAAGAAACATGCCTTTGTGTCTACATGAAGCTCGGCATCTCATAACAATAGAACACTACTGGTCTCAGTAGCACACATGGAGAAAAGGAGCAGATAGAGCAGGACTCAGGCTCTGCCCAAGTAGTGCAAGACAACGGTACAGTTCAGTGCAGGGACACTGTGACTGCTGGCCACAGTATTTGGACACTGCCTTTGCAGTGCTTTTGTGTCTACAAACCAGGCTGCTTGGGAAGCTGCGCACTGGCTCCCACAGTCATGGCATCTCTTCACAAAAACAACAGATGATGAGTTAGAAATCCTTGTCTCGGGGCTGTACTTCTCACGTCCTAAGGCACACCAACCACCCTGGGCAAGGTAGTTGGGTCCTTCACTGACATGGCATTTTCAGTGCTTGTTGTGTTGGAGACGCTGTAAACCATTTGTTTACATCTGCCTGCATTGCTGTCTGTTTTTCCAAGAAAGCCAAGAGTGGTCTTTCCAAGAGATGTATCCTTGTCTGGAGGTCAGCCAGTTTCCGTTCACACTCTTACTCCCCAGCCAGCTGGTTCACACCAAACCTCAGACAGAAAGCTTCTAACATGATAACCCTTTTCCCACAGAGCCACAGCTCTAAGCTGCCAAAGAAACCATGCCGGTCCCTGAGTTGCCGCCGGATCTTCACGGGCGGAAGAGAGCCCAGTGCAGCCTCTTCAGTGACTTTCCCGGGCTTCGGGCAGCTGAGTCTACTCTTCCTGATTGCTGCACTTATGTGTCTGATTGGTGCCAAATGTACATCTGATTGTGTCCTCGGTTCTAGATTTAGCATCTTCTTTGGCTTTATTCTTCTGGCCAGCCAGGCAATCTGATTTTACATACGCCCCAGCAATCAGTGCATTTACTTTGGAGTTTTTTTTTTTTTTTCTTATCAGTATTCAGAATGAAACCCAACAAATTTCAGCTGATATCTAAAATAGAATTTTCTGTGAGTCACACATTGGTAAAGAAATCATATGTATGCTTTCTCATACAGTTATAAGTATGTATGTATGCATATTCCTGTTCACATATTATATGCACAAATGGACTCCATGTTCATATATACAAACATGTCTTCAGATTACTCATTTTTGATAGGTTTGTCACCAACACAAAGTCATCTTTATCACAACATCAGTATGACTTAAAGATAGGCTAATTTCACAAAGACAGAAAACCCTTTAACTTTTTTCTTGGTGTTCTAAAGGGTTCTGAAGAATTAGAAATGACATTCTATGCTTTATTTAAAATATTTCTTAGGACTGAGTGCCCCACAGTCTCTCTCTCTCTCTCTCTCTCTGTACCTTGTCCAGCTGTGGTTCTCTGTGTTAATTTCCATCTACTGCAGGAAGCTTCTCTGCCAAGGGCAGAGACATGCTCTGACCCACGGATATAGGAATATGGCATTAGAAGTCATTTTATTGATATGTTTTTAGAGACTTATTTTTTGTTATTTTTATGTATGCGTATGTATGTGTTTCTGTGTGCACATCATGCATGTGGGTCAGAAGTCATGGGTCACCTAAAACTGAAGTTGGAGGCAGCTGTGACTGCCTAGTGTGAGTTCTCTGAATTGCTGGGAACCAAACCTGGGTCTTCTGGAAGTGCAGCAAGTGCTCGTACCTGCCAGCTCATCTCTCCAGGCCCATTCTATGATTTTGAACTGCATGCTTTTATGCTGATTGCAGAAGTCTATGGGAATTTTCTTTAGTCCATTTGTCTAGTGCATTAGATGATATCAAAACCATTTTTCTTTTCACAAATATTAATTAATATAGAGAGTTGTGTAGCAGTGCTGAGTGAGGTCCTTTACCTTTCCTAGTGTTTGGATGTAGATAAAAGCTTTCAGAGAACTCGGGCCTTGAACTGACTGGAACTTTTCATGATAAATGCTGGTAGTTAGACAAAGGGATAACTCAAGGAGAGCAAGGCCAGGATGGAAAATTTCTTCTTCACACGGGATTAATTAGACTTTGTCTTTCTCCCCACCCCCTGTAATTTATTTATTTAATCGATTTATAGCCAGATCCCAGCTCCCTCCCCCTTCTCCTTTCAGTCCCACCCTCACTTTGCATTTCTACCATAACAGAGGCTGAAAGGAAGGACCAGGAACAGGAAATGGAAGCAGAGAAAAGTATTACTACAGAGAGAAGCAAACCCTCAGTGTCTGTCAGAGCCCTGGCTGCAAACGAGCTCAACTGGGTCTCCATAAAACTCTTTCTGTTTCCTACTTTGCAAAGAAGAGTCAAACCAACAAAGAAGAATGAACGAGGGAGGAGGAGAGCTGAGAAAAGGAGGGGAGAGAAAAAGGGACCAGGAGAGGGCCATTTTCCACTCTACCATTCCACAGATGACTGCAGGCTGAAATCTGGAGTCTGCCTTTCCACACACAGTGTGAGGAGGAAGCTACAGGGAGGCAGGAGAGCAAGCTTTTGAGTTTCTCAGCAGAGGCATTGAAGTTTGGAGTTTTTATTTTGAAATAAAGTTGGCCCTTCAGTGTCTAGACAGTGACAGAAATCTGGGTGTGCCATTCCCGGAAGCATTCTGATTAACTAAGGGTCCATTTTATGTAAAAGCAGAACTTCTGTACCACAGCAGAGAGAAAAAAACATTCACATGAGAATTTCAACATTAGCATTATTTATTTTCTTCTAAGTGGCCATTGTGAGCCACTATCAACTCTAAAAAACTAACATTCATAGAACTAAAAATCACATAAGCAATCACAGAAAGAATAATCACCCTCTCTCTCTGGTGGTGAATGTGGGGTTGGGTAACGCTTATGGATATGAAAAGGGCACGTCAAAGGGCAGAAGAGGGCAGGGAAGATGCGCATTTTCATGACTTAGCATGGTCCTTGGTCCTAGGAAAGCCCTGTCAAGGTTCTACAGATGAACAGTCTTGTTATTTCCAGTTCTAACTCATCAAGGGCAGCCCGCTTTGGCTTCTGAATCATTGTACCAAAATATTTATGGATGCTTAGTACTGTCTCAGAACATCAACCTCTCATAGTTAAGGATATTGAGTCTACAGAGAAAGAGGCTGTCGCAGGCCTAGGCCGGGAAACTATTTCTCTGCTTCGTTTCCTATCCATTGTCCGGAGTCCTCATCTTCCCAGCACTTAAACAGAGCCACTGACAGAAACAAACAACAACAACAACAAATCAAAAATATCTAAGCTTATAGAGGTATTGACACAGCTGTCCTTGGGGTCATTTTGCATGATCTCCATATACTATGCCGTTTTTGGCAAAGAACTCAATCATTTTCTAAATTACACAAATGCTGTTTATATTATGTATGTGTGTGTGTGTGTGTATATATAGTCTAAAGTAGGGCAACCTGGGACACTTGAGCACACACTGCTAATGTAATGCAGATCAGCTCCTGGAGATGGCAGGCAATAGTCTGGTGAGGTGGCCTTGGGTGTCACATGGTATAGCATATGAGAAGGGACTCTAAATGACAAAGCACTAAAGCACTTTGGGAATTAAGCTCATCACCATTTTACTCCTACAGCAGAACATCCAGTACACTAAAGGACAATTAACCTCATGAAGGCAAAAGCCTGGGTTGGAATTGATGATATAAAGAATGTTCCATGTCCAACATTTGGCACTAGGCATTGATAATGTATATGGAGAGACACACTTTGGGCTTATAAAATAGAAAATTGAATTTAAAAATATATATTATGAATATGATAAGATACAAATCGATGCAAAAATATGTTCTGCTTTCCCTGTTTCATGATTTTAAAAAGCATGTAATTTTGTGGTACTAGGTATTGAAGCAGAGGGAGGAACCCTTTGGTTATGTTTCAGAAATGCTTTCACAGTATGTGTTATTACAGTGTTGAAGTATATTAACATGTTAATATTTAGTACTCAACCAAAAATAACTAAACATTAAACATAGGCAATTGCAATAATATGTTTAGTTATATTGTTTTGAACAGTCCTTTGAACAACATTTGTTCAAAAACATGTCAATATTTGCTACTTGATGTACTCTGAATTAAGTCTCTGAGATAGTGCGGTAACCCTGACGTGCAGGAATTACATAATACCTTCGGTGCTACATTTACGTAGGCAGCCTGAGGCTTTAGCTGAAAGACAGACGGAAGGAAGATGGCATCTTAGAAAGAGATACCTCCCCCTTCTCAGCCTAACTAGTAGCTGAGGCAGATGTCTATACCCTGATAGAATTACTTGGGACAGTGTTTGGTAGTCCACCATTTTCCAAGGTGCGGAGTTGCCCATGTGCCCGCTCCATAACCTTGCCTGAGGACAAGGCCACACCCACCACTTCTGGAGGCCTTGGTTAAAGACTTCTGAGCTGCCATCTTGGAAGATAATCTTCGTTTTCTTTAGTCACAGCTGTCATGTTACTGGCCTTCGTTTCGATTCTCGGTAAGTTATAAAGTGCAGTATGTAGGGCTGAACCACCAGGAAGAACAGAATGAGCACGACCCTTCCCACAGGATTCACTTTACCAGGAGAGTCATCATCCTCACCAGAGAATGCTAAGGACCATGGTCGTCCCTGCCCACACCATCACCACCAACAGCCTCCCTCCTCACAGCTGCTGTGTCATGAGCAGGAAGCACAGCGTCAGGACATTGTCCAGTTCGGGTGTGTGAATACGATTCTGTTTGTCTCAGCCCACTTGGCAAACACCTTCTTTTCAGTGATGAACCTGTGGCCCCCGAATGGGGTCCGCTCATGGAGAAAATACTCGGTGCACTCATCCTTTTCTCGTTCATAGTAATGATAGGGGACTTTTCTGTACCCCTCTGTCCTGGAAGAGAGAAGAGGGAAGGAAGACCGAGCCAAGGATGAGACAGGCTTTTACAAGAATCCATTACGTGCCCAGTAAACGCATTTACTTACAAACCCTCATCAATGGACTCAGTTAAAAGCTATTATACATGAAAGCTTTTGGGAAGAAGAACCAGTTCTTCGTGCCCTAATGGATCAAATACAGTTTACAGATCAACCAATTACACTCAAACACATGGCCCACTTTCAAAGGAGGAGGTGTTATAAGATGGAACCAACCTTACAAAGCCCAGGGCTCATAAAGAGAGAAGGAAACTGGGTTTTCCGTAGTGATGTTTGGGGTTTATCCGTGCTCTCTTAGACTTAGCAGTCACATGCAAGGTCTATTCACTGTGACCTGGGGTTACACATTAACAGTCTGGTTAAATGCTGTCTGAATCATACTCTACCACCCTGAGGAAGCACGAGAGTTTGTCCATCTGACTGGAAGCAAGGCTGCCAGCCACCATATTCTGTACAAAACCACACTCATTTAAAGTAAGCGTCTCAGGGTTAGTCACACAGCAGTGAAATAAAGTTTCCAGGAATTCTTGTTGAGCCAAATGTTTCTCTGAGGCACCAGGGCATTTTCTTCTTTGTGAGCAAATAGAGCCGCTGGCTGACAGCTGCCCATCAAGCCCTCAGAGAGTAGATGCAGCAGCCTTGATTTTTCAAATTAAATCACCGCTGAACTTGCTCTAGATTTCCCAGCCCCAAGTCCTGGCTATGTGACTGATTCAGGGGAAAGTGTTCCTCCTAACATGTGACATCAGACAGCAGTGAATATTGTTTTCTTTCTATCACTCTTAAGAGTCAGAACATGGCGCACTGACAAGAATGTGTCATGTTGGCAAAGAACACCCGGAAATAATTGCCATGTGATCTCTTTCTAGGATTTACAGCATTAAAAGGAATGGTGATATTTGGACAAGATATCAGAATTGGAGCAGCATAAAAATCATTTCCCATGGTCTTACGTGCAGTAGGTGTCATTTATCATCCCGTAGACGTGGATGCTGGAGCAGGCGTCCATAGCCAGGATAAAGGTAAACCACCCTGTGCTGAGGTAGGCGCCAGACTGGACTCTGGAGGAACACAGACAGACACAACACAACAGTGACAAGAGAGTGCGGTTAGAGACAAACCGTGTTGATCAGAACCACAGCGCCTGTTATCAGGGGGAGCAGTGAGAGGCCTGATGATCTGTCAAGGATACACACTCATTGTGAATTATCTCTGAATAATTTATAGGCACACTCCTGCCCTTCTCTTAAGCCTCAGAGCTATGCCGGGTGGAAGAGAAGCCATATGGCAAATATCCGAAGTCCAATAATCCTGCTCCCTCCAGGTGACAATAATTTATTTGGCTTTCCGTAAGACCCCAAACAGCGGGGTGTATCAGAAAACAGGTTTTCTGGAAGTGGCTCAGGGCTCTGATGAGCCCTGAATGACAATGGTGCCCTGTTTACCCGGAAGAAGCACTTTCTCAGTCTCCTCAGCTTCTGTCACGTGCTTTAAAGTGGTGTTTGCCTGGGGATGGGGATGTGTACAGATATATATGGGTGTGTGGGTGGGTGTGCATATGCATGGATGTGCATGCATGCATGTTTGTGTGCGTATGTGGATGAGTGTATATGTGAACATTGTGGGTGGGGTATGTGGATGTGTGAGTAACTGGGTGCTACGTGGATGCGTACAGATGTGCGAATGGGAATTGTGGGTATATGAAAGGGTGAGAATGGAACCCACGGGTGTGAGTATTACAGACATGTGTGTGTGTGTGTGTGTGTGGATATGTGGGTGTGTAGGTATGTGATTGTGTATTTATGTGAATGTGTGCCTGTGTGGATGTGTGATGGATGCACAGGAGAAGGACAGAAGGAGAAAGTGGGGGTGTCAGTTTTTGCCTTCTACCATGTCGGTCTTGGGAATCAAACTCCGGTAATAGGCTCAGTTGCAAGTACCTTTATCTGCTGAGCCATCATGCCCTCCCCAGAGTTGATGAATTTATTTTTCACAGTGTTGGGGGATGAACCCAGGACCTTGCTAGGCAAGCTTTATTCTGCTGCTCTCCAGCCCAGCCTGACTTCTCCACATAAAGTAGATACAGTGTAGGGAAACCTGGTCCACGAAAGCATCCCAATATTTTCCTAAACAGCCTTGCAGGCATTAGGACATGTCGTTTCTTTTTTAAATTATTATTATTATTTATAGTTTATTCACTTTGTATACCAGTTATAGCCCCCTCCCTCACATCCTCCTGGTCCCACCTTCTCTCCCTCTTCCTCCCCTATATCCCTCTCCCCTAGTCCACTGATAGGGAAAGTCCTCCTCTCCTATCTTACCCTAGTCTATCAGGTCCCATCAGGACTACCTGGATCCTCTTCCTCTGTGGGCTAGCTAGGTCTCCCCACCAGGGAGAAGAGATCAAGGAGCAGGCAACCGAGTTCATGTCAGAGGCTGTCTCTTCTCCCCTTACTAGGGCACCCACATGGAGACAGAGCTGTCTTCAGGCTACATCTGAGCAGGGGGTCTAGCTCCTCTCTATGAGACATCTGTTTCTTAAGACCTGGCTCCAGCCCCTTGGACACATTTTTACTTGTCACTGATAATGTGCCCGTCTTACAGGTGCTATAAACACACAAGTTATGAGCATTGTCTCATCTTTACGCTGACTGGAAGATTAGATTTACACCCACCTGCTCTATAAAGTCCCTCAGGGGTGGCCTCTGTGATAACTGCAACAGGAGTGTGGGGCTGGGGGTGGGGCAGTGTGGTAAAAGAGGACAAGCACTGTGGGCCAAGGCAGGGAAAATACCTTAGGAAGACCACGTGGCACAGGGATAGCCCAAACGTTGATGCGTGCCCCACAAATCTTGGCTTGTTTGGGGAATGCAGCAGTGGGGTCTAAGGATGATTTAATTAGAGACAGTGCTGACTGTAGGGTCTGCCAAAGCAAGTGGTTCAGGATGGATCTCTGCATCTGCCCTTGGCCATGCTAACCTAATTCATTCAGAAGGCTGGGCTGTCTCTCTCCTGACATCTCCTGCAGAGACAAGTGGATCGCCCCAAGTTATCTGGCAGCTGCGCAGCGGCACTTCCCTCTAGACTCAGGACTGGTGGGACCTTGGCCAGCTCTCCCAGCAACCAACGCTCACACATCCACTCTGGCTGCAGCCCCGAGCTGGAAGTGGTACCTGCTGGTGTCCAGAACCCCAGTACTGGGGATATATGTCCTTTACACGATGCCATCCTTGGATCTGAATTAGAACCCCTGCTTGTCTCCCTCCTTCCCTCCCTCCCTACCTCCCTTCATCACTGCCTCCCTCCGTCCCTCTCTCCTTTGCTCTCTTACTGACTAGTACCAACCTAGAAGATGCCAGCATTTTAGGAATTACATAAACTCAGGGGGAGGTGACAGCATATTTTTAAAAATTACTTTCTAAACTGTTGTGTGATTCTCCCGGAGAGACCAATGAAACCCATCTGCGCCCTCTCTGCTGTCTTGTCTCTGAGTCTGAGCTCCTTCTACTTAAGAAACCATTTCTCCACATGCTGGTGTGTGTTTTCCAAATGGAAAATGCCCTGTGTCTGTGGGAGATTGGAACCAGGATGTCCAGGCCTAACCAAACCCTCAGGTGCTCAAGAACAGTACCTATACACCCTCTCCCAAATGCTTCAGGTCACCTCTCAATTGTCTAACTAACGCAACCACCATATAAAGAGTTGGAATAGTGCATTACTTACAAAAACAACAACAATAACAAGAAATCAGTCTGTTAACAGTTCATACTGATGCGATTCCCTCCACACAGTGGAGAATAGTATTTGGATCTATGGTTGGTAGAACCCAGAGATCAAGAACCTGAGGACACTGAGGGCTGTGTATTCCAGACTGGACCACACTGAGTTGTTTTCTATGGGATGAAACTAGCAGTGTGATGTGCACTCCGTGAGCAGGAAGGAGTCACATGGACAACAACCTTTCTCACTACATGCTTAGGGAGAAGGTGTTCTCTACCCCAGTCTCGAGGAGCACGAGGAGGCAGGGTCAGAACCGCTGAGTGCTTTAATCCAGAGTCTCCAAGATAGTCTATGCGGACACTGAGTTGTGTGATGACTGCATGGCCATTGTTCTTGCTGAATTAGTTGCCTGCTTTTCCTCTGGATTCTTTCAACATTTCACCCATTTTATATCCTTTCCATATTTCTTTCTTCGTACTTCAACCAGACACAAGTAGAGATCACTAACATCACAGCATTTCTTAGAGCGGGCTATGTTTGTTTGAATGTGTTTACTTGTTAGAACTGAACACGGCATTTGTTTATACTGGGGGGACTTGCCTTACTGACTCTGCTAGAAGCAGGTATGACCTGACATCAGTCACCATATAACACGGCACACTAACTGCCTGTGTGTTACAGTCAGAGCACAGTGGAGTACAGGTTGCCATAAAGATAGCTGGTCTCACAATCCAACTTTGCCGCCGACTGAAGTGGGATGATGCAGACCGCTCCCCTAGCCTGTGTGAGTCAGGGTCCCCACTTCTAGGTGAGAAGACCGAGATAAGTCATACCTAAAGACTCTTCCAATTCTAAAACCAAGTGATTCTGGGTCACCGGAGAGTATTTTGTCATTAAGGCTTAACCAGGGAGCTCCGCACCATGTTGTGTGGGTTGATGATGCTGTTAGCAAGCACGCGAGTCACAAGATCAGTTAGGCTCACTGGCAAGATACCAATGTCTGAAATATACGTGGAAAGAGGGCAGTAGACAGAGAAGCTCTGCTTGTGGAGGGACTGGATACCATGACCAAGGTTTTCAGGAGAGGCACTCTGCGTCTTTGTTTGGACACAAGCAGCTCACAGACCATGCAAGAAAGAAAGAGTATTATGGGGCCAGGGCATTGAGAGTAAACTTTCATTTCCAGGAGAATCAACGTATATTGAAGCATACTGTCATTATTTGATGAGTTCCTTCCACTGTAGCTGAGGATAAATGGGGGACCAGATGATAGCCTAGCTCAGGATAAATGGGGAACCAGATGATGGCCTAGCTCAGGATAAATGGGGGACCAGATGATAGCTCAGGATAAATGGGGTCCTTTGTGCAACACCAGGAACTTGACTCTGTAAGTAAGCTGCTCTGCTGGACTACCATGGTCCAGCCCAGTCACGTCTGATACTTTGACAATCATTCATAAATGGGTCCTCCAAGGAGAAGCAGGATGCAGCCATTGCGGTGTTTCTATCATTTATCCATCTTCTTTGTGCTCCAGGGGAAAAAAGGTCAGGAGTTTTAGAGTTTGGCATTTAGCCCAAGATCTTCCCACTTTACCAAATAAGGACTTTAAAAAACATATGACACTGAGTTCCCCTTAGGCCTGACCTGATTTGTCTCCAGGTAGAGGGCGCGCGCACACTAATTAGCCCAGTGCCTTCCCCAGCATTATGTGTTGTGCTTCATTTACTTGGGGGAAGAGTCCCACTGCCCTAGTGACCCGTCCTAAAAACAGGGCTTAATTAGACAGTGACATTATTTTCCCTTAACATCTCTAGTATTTTGAGACTTGAAATGTCATGAAGTTTCCTACCTACAACACAATTCATGGGGCCTTCTCAAATACTCTGACTTAATGTTTCTCTGAGATGTTCAGCCTGGAGAAATCCAGGTGCTAGCTAAACCCAGGAACTCTTCAAAAACAAACAACAGCAGTACTTCTCAACCTCCCTAATGCTACAACTCTAACACAGGTTTCTCATGTTGTGTTGACCCCCAACCCTAAAATTATTTTGTGATGACCCCAAAATAAAACTATACTGTTGCTACTTACTACTGTTGTGAATCGTAATGTAACTATCTGGTAAGGAGAAGAGCTAATACAGGACCCTGCAGGGGTCCCAACCCACAGGTTGAGAACCTTGAGTGCCTTGAAGGCACTCACTGGCCTTTGTGGGCTGGCTCTCTTAAGGGAGCTCTCGAAGGCCCCCTAAGCTGCTCTATGAGGAACTGAGTGGAAATCCACCCTGAGTGGACTTTGTAAGGTTCAATAATGACAACAACAAAGGCAGCAACTACTGCACAT